GAAAAATACAGAATTTCTATGATACTCCAGTTCCTTCTTTTGCTCATTAGACACTTAACTCATCCAAAGGTGTCATTCACTCACTAAAACACAAGGAATGAAGAATCATGGCATTCACTCCCTAAAATCACATGGGGGTTTGAAGAATCATGGCATTCACTCACTAAAATCACATAGGGAATGAAGAATCATGGCATTCACTCCCTAAAATCACATAGGGAATGAAGAATCATGGCATTTACTCCCTAAAATCACATAGGGAATGAAGAATCATGGCATTCACTCACTAAAATCACATAAGGAATGAAGAATCATGGCATTCACTCCCTAAAATCACATAGGGAATGAAGAATCATGGCATTCACTCACTAAAATCACATAGGAAATGAAGAATCATGGCATTCACTCCCTAAAATCACATAGGGAATGAAGAATTATGGCATTCACTTACTAAAATCACATAAGAAATGAAGAATCATGGCATTCACTCCCTAAAATCACATAGGGAATGAAGAAACATGGTGTTACTGCAGTCCATCAAATTTATTTAAAATGCAGGGCACAATTGCTGGTCACCAAGACGAGCATACCTAAAGCAGAAAAAGTTGGCTTTTTGCAGGTTAAAGTTGAAGTGTATATTCCAAATCCTATACATTGTTTCAAATGTCAGAAGTACAGTCAGCACGAAGATTTAGATAAAAAGGTATTGAGTATGAAGAATGGTATATACATTATATATAAATACTCAAGGAATTCCAAAATACAGGAGACGTCATTGTATCAAAAAGTTTCTTCATGTCATGCACATTGTAGTTAGTAGTGACCGCACATAAGTTAAAAATACTATCATAAAGTTAACCGTAGGTTAAAATACTATCATAAAGTGCTTAACAGATTGGGAACATTTTCAAAAATGTAAAGTACACTCTGTACCCAAAATTCAACTAACATATGACTCTTAGCATTAGGCCAACTGCAGAGGTGGCTTACATGCTGTGAATCTAGGATTTGTCCACTAGTACAACTAGACTGAATTTGATCAAAAAAATGGACTGGAGATTCCGGGCATACATGACACAGGAGACCGGGCCACTCACATCCCAGCTGGGTTCCTTTCCTCCTTTTCCTCTGCTGGACATAAATGAGAAGTGTGACATTGCACATAAACATGGAGCTGTGATGGCACCATACTCACAACCCTGACCAATTAAGAAGCCTGACTTTCAGGCATTAACCAGTCATGAAAGCAATAAGCTGTATTCAAGTTAAGTTTAAATAAATACATAGATTTCAAGCATTTAGCTTTTAAGTTCTTTGTATGTGGAGTGAAGGTCAGTTTTTGTTGAAGATAATACCCAGAAAGTTTGTTTCCTCAACAGCTGCTAAAGGTGTTCCATCCAGCATGAGTTTAGGTTCATTATGGTGTCTTTGTAACTGACAGAAATGTGTGCATACAAGCCATTTACATTCCAGTTGATCAGGAAGCTTTTTTTTTGCCAATACCATCTTATTGTTTTGCTTTTAACTGTTTGACATTTATATCGCTGGTTAGTGAGAAACCTTTTATCTCTTTTAAATAATCCTTCATATAACCTTTTGTATGGCACTATATAGCCTAACAGTACTGATGTGCCATCAATCAATCAATATTTTTCCAGCCACACACATTGCTGCTTTCAAAATTTATGATGAAGAGAAATTGACTTTGTTTCATATGTTATCATTTCAGTTTGAGCTTTTTCTTCAAATGTAACATTTACATTGTGTGGGCCTCGTTACCATTGTTCTAGCATTTTTCTGTTCCAATTCAGCCTGTTCAAAAGTTGTCTACAATTATTCTGGTTACGTTTTGTTTAACCTTGCATTAAATTCATTGAACATATATATATATATATATATATATATATATATATATATATATATATATATATATATATATATATATATATATATATATATATATATATATAGGAAGGAAGGGAGTTCATTCCTCATCTTCCTCATAATTTTTAAGGGTTTTCCTCTGCAGTCCCTTGGAGAAGGAAGAAGGATTTTCAATGTCTCTTTGGAGCCACTTAGGCTTACTCCCAAAGGAGGTAATAAATCATTGGAAAGTGAGTCACATTCTTGAGTTTCATGGGACAATTGTTGGCAATGCAATGAAGCCATCTAGTTAGTGGAGAGATTCAGTCTACATCAGATGTGTGTTTGGGTTTTCTGCAGATCTGATTCACCTGACTAGTCATTGACTGGTGACTGAGTACAAGTCAACAGTCTATAAGTACCAATCACTGGTAATTTGAGCCCCTATGGTACAAGGATAGTGTTTTGGTTGAGACCTCCCATCTAGGTTATTGTTTCATCCTCCTGAGAATTGCAAGTTGGTGTGCAGATGCCAGATAAGGAAAGAAGATTTAATGGCATCTCTTCTATTTCTGTAATCCCTCAAAATCTCTTTAGGATTTGGGGCTTTCCACTGCAGGGAAAGGATTCACTCTTTCCCTGAATGTAGTCATGGACTTTAGGGACTTGCAACATGGTATAGAGATTAATGCTGCCAATCGTATACCAACAACTCAATAAAAAGTTGAGTCCAAAAAGAGGGAAAGGGTTAGGCCTTCTTTCCCCAAATTCCCCAGGAGGTTACAGAGTTGCTCTCACCCACCTGCTGAGACTGCTACTAGGGACAGTTCATTCACCCTGCAAGAGGAGTTATGGGATCTAAGTTCCCCTCAACCCCAAAGTCACCCCTGCAACAGCGAGAAACTGGGTAGCAAAGTCCTGCCTCCCAGGATCGAGAGTGAGACAAAGACATTCTTTCTGTTATTGATTCATGCAAGTTTGATCAAGGTTGCAGAAGAGGAAGAGATCAGACCTTTCACCTGAGTGGTCAAGGAGGTTTACTGTCCCTTGCCATGATGCCCATATGTTTATTAAGAGAGAAGTTCCTGGCATTCACTTTACTGATACAACATAAATATTTACATTTAAATTAATGCTAAAATCCCTAGAATGAAATAAATCATAAACTATTAAAGTATTTTTCATCATGTTAAATTATTAAATTATTTTTCATCATGCTTTGATGTAACAATCATGCCATAAATTTTATGTTTCAGAATTAATAAACTGTTTACCAATCTCTTAAGTTTCTGAGCGTGTTCAACCTTACAAGGAAAGTACATATGTTATGGAATGAGGATTTCTTTCATTACAGATAATCATTATGTTAATTGGCATATTGTACAAATGTAATGTACTCCACTGTCCCCAGTCCATGGTGTGATCAAGTACAACATTATGTTAGAGGCATATTGGGTAACTGATATAACATGTACCACACTGTCCTTAGTCCATGGAGTGATCCAGTGTAAGTGGGTTTCACATAACATTTCTTAAACATAACAAATATATGAATGGCAATAACTTATCTGTAAAAGTAAAAGGAAATGGAGGGAAAAAATGACCCATTACATAACATGTGCATTAGATGATACAAGTATTTAAAAAATGTCTAATAGGAAAGAAAAAACATTTTACAAAGAACATGAAGGTTTAAATGGCTCAGATTATAAATGTTGACCTAAGGAAACTGCAAAGCAAGGATGCAAAATAAATTATGTCAATTTAAATTTTTCAAGTTGGTGATTATTAGTTTGCAGAGTCCTCCATTTCACTGGTGATAAAACTAAAATGGCATTCTGTTATGTATCCAACAAATTAATGAATATTGTTTTCATATATTGACCTTAGTGTTGGGCACAGTAAGCATATATGTGACACTATGGAGAGGTCAGCTTAGGACATCAGATCAGGAGATTTGCAAAATTTTATTAGGAATTTTTACTTCTGATCATATCCATTTCTGGCGAGCAATTAGACAAAACTGAAAACTATTGAATAAATTTCCCTTTTTTACCATATATTCTCACTTATATAAGTCCAACTGCAAACTGCACAGAACCAGATCTGCTGGCACATAATGTGCCATCAGATCTGGGTCTGTGCATTATGTTAGGAGTAATCAGTAGAAAGTCAAGACCCCAATCTGCAGGTGCATTATTCTAAAGCAGATCAGGATCTTTGTTGTATAAAGTTTGATTTGATTTATAAGGGAGTATGTTACATTATATTAAAACATGCATATCATTTCATCTCAATCCTTTCATAGGAACTGTTGCATTTCATATTAGCCCATTTCATACTGGATTTAACTAAGTTGCCCTGTAATTAACTGAAAAACCTCCCGAGTCACATTATACTCCAGATAATCAAACGCTGGTAGGCATCTGTACATAACAAAATGGCATACATTGTTGTTTAGACATATCAAATTAAAAGAAATTAAGAAATGCCGGCTACCTGCCTGCTAAATGCCTGGGATTTTTGCAGCTTTACCGTCGAAAAGTATTCCAGGTTTGTTATATTGCGGATTAATAAGAAAAATTCCTTTTATTGGTAAACGAAACTCGATTTATGAAATACGATATTATGGTAAAAAAAAAAAATAAAAAAAAAGGGATTAAATTTGTAACATCGACGCCGTTTTCATACTCGCATGTGGATGTCCAGATGCAAACAGCTCATAGCTACTCTCTCATATGGCTATAAAATCCAGAAAACAAGACAGGATGGTTCCAATATTAAATTTCGTCAATATCTGTGGCATCATCACTGTTGAATAGGCATTTTTCAATTCTATAAATGAAGCTGAAGTAGTTGGAACAGTTGATGCTAATGCTGATGCGTCCGCCTTGTTTTGACCACTAGTCTGGTCCCCTGCTTAGTATGCTCCCTGCGATGCACTCCGCGCTATACTATACTAGAAAACATACTAAGCAGGGGACCAGACTATTTGCCTACCAGCTATCGATTAGATATTTTGGTCAGTTGACCACCTGCCACGTGATCAAAATTCCGAGCAAATTACAAAGTTCGCCAAAGTCATGAAATGGTCTATTCAGAGTCAAATGACCACAGAAACTGTTGCCTTTCATAGAAGCTCGGGTGGCCTAGTGGTTAGAGCATCTGTCTTGGATGCAGGAGATCATGGGTTTGATCCCCAGTTGAGTCATACTAAAGACTTACAAAAATGGTACTTACAGCTGCCTCACTTGATGCTTAGCATTAAGAGGTTAGTGTTAGGACTGGTTGGTCTGGTGTCAGGATAATGTGACTGGGTGTGACAATTCATGCTACATGTCTGCAGCATGATGCCTCAGTGCTGGACATCACTATAAATTGCCACACTGCAGACATCATAGCAATATGACTGAAAAATTGTTAAACACTATGTTAGAATCATAAACACCACACCATCAGCTCAATCCTTTCACAGGAACTGTTGCATTTCATAGAAGCCAATTCAGGGTCACATGATCACAGGAAGTCTCTACTATAAATATATTATACTGAAAGCAAAGTGTGAAGAAATAAAAATCAGAAGAATTTCTGTTCTGGAATTTTTTTTAAAAATTAATCACACAGAAAACTTCATCAAGGGAAGAGAAACAACCTTCATCTTGGTAGGAAACTGCTCTTAAATGGGAAGTTAACATACACAAGTAACATTGGATCTTTGATGTTGCTGTTATCACAAAATTACAACATCATTTGGATATTTTAAATGATGCTGAGACTATTTCATTCCATTGTTATCTTATGTTACACCATTTCTGAACCAGGAAAGGTTAGTGTTGTACACAATACTAAAGAAGAACTATCTCCATTCATATAGAAATAAATTGTATCTAATCTTATGTTCCTAAAGGAAATAACATGGGGAAATTAAAATAAGCAGGACATTTTTGGAAAAGCTAAAAAGTATCACTTTATGAAATTGAAATTTTGCCCCATGCATGGGCATATGTGTCCATTTAAGGCACTTATTTCATTGACCATACATACTATGCTAGTTGCCATATGCACTAGCTTCAAAAACTGAGTCAAATTTCATACAACAAAAATCAAGATCTGCCATAGCATAAAGCACCTGCAGATCAGGGTCTATGGTGTTTATTCTTCTTACTACTCCTAACAAACTGCACAGATCCAGATCAGCTGGCACCTGCAGATCTGGTTCTGTGCAGTTTGCAGCAGGACTCATTGTATAAGCGAGTATATATGGGATTTTTATATTAATCCAAGGCAAAGATAGTAAGGTATTACAAATGATGGAAACCATTTGGTTTCAAAGTTTTTCATGATTACAAATGTATGCAAATGAAAGAATATGTATCATATTCTGTGTGCAAAATTTGCTGGTGTATCATCATTCTTGCCATTCCTCCATCTTTTCAGATAAAGGAGTAGTACCTTGTCAAATGCAGACAATGCTAGTTATATCCCTTTGTAGTTATATCCCTTCACACAGCTCTTTAGATCCAAAATTGAAGTCATATTTAGATGACATACCTCTGTATGACACCAAAACAAAATCTACATTACCATAAGTCCTATGCAACAACATAAACACTTACTTACCCTCACAGCTCACTTTTGGACTTAACTTTAGAGTGGATATATATGGTATTTACTCAAATTGACACCCATTTACCTACTGTTAGTAATCTCTTTTAGCTTACTTTATTAAATATAAAACATAAGCAGCCTTTGCTCTTGAAATGCAAGATCCTTATTAGTTTTGAAGTTTTAATCATGTAGGCTTATTATACAAAGAAAGCACTATCTCTAAACTGTTTGGTAGTTCCTTGGAATTAGAATTTTGGGTTCTAGAAATGCTATGTAATTTCTAATTTTTGGGTAGAAAATTTCTGTTTCAATGCTTTTTTCAATGACAATTTTTTAAATATTCATAATTAGTGGCTCATGCAAAAGATGAAAGAAGAGATATAGTTGAAGAAAAGAATTGTTTTCCATTGGTACTTTTTGCATTCTTTTCAATGTCTCATAATCTAGGCCAAACAATTGATGTGTAAATGTTAGTACTCGTTGTTTGAAGGTACTATAATGGTTCAAGTTTTCAATTTCATGCTTTCAAAGAGGCATATCCATTCATCACTATTCAATTGTAAAGAAATAATTTAAAGTTTGCTGATAAGATAGTGAGTCCTCAATTGAAATACACTAATGTCAAAAACAGATGTTAAATATTTATGGCTTGTAGATATTTTTAGCAGGCTGAAGGCACCATAAAATTGACATGCCAGAAAAAAAAGTCTGCAAAAGATTGTAACATGCTTGTATTTCCCGTTGCTTCTCCAATTCTGGGTACTATTGTAATCATAAACAACTCTCAATTTTCAGTTTTCAATATAAATAAATTTTGTCCTCATAAATGCATGTCTAGCATGGAATTTTATTTATAAATGAGCATTATTTCTTTTTGTCTCTCTGGATCTATGGCTGAACAGTCAGATTATGTTATTGTTGATCCATTGATTAGCCTTGGAGTTAAATGTTGAGCTCAGCTACCAGAAGAGCTTATGGGATGGCCTGTTGACCGCTGTCTATATATTCTTTGCAAAATTAAGTTCATTATTGTTGCTCCTCCTAAACTACTGGGAGGATTGCCATTGGTGACTGGTCTAGTTGGCTTTAAATGATACTGGTGCTGTCTGGACATTCAGCATGACCATCAGAGTGACCTTTTGAAAATCTTGCTATCCCTGCTCCTCCTGAACAGACAGATGGTCATGTCAGCATGGCTTTAACCAGAAGACCTCTTATGATGTATTGAGATTCAAATGAAAATGTGCTGTGCTGATCTCCAATACCACATCTATGGTGGCCATCTTGAAATTCTTGTTGTTTACTACTCCACCTTGACTAGTGGTCATATCAACATGGGGTTTTCACCATGAGACCTTTCATCATGTCTGATTATATAGTAAAAGTCACACAAGTTATGTAGGGATTCAACACCGACTATTTCAGCAATGGGTGTCAGTTTTTAAACTTTGATTCTACATACTGTTAAGTGGCAAGTATTCACTTTAATTGGATTCTTATACATCTACATTCCTTTGGAAGGTCATTATTTGGACACCTAAAGAAATGAATACAGCAAAATTAGTGTTAAAGTACCCAGACATTTATGGATGAAATGAAACTAAAGGTGTGATCCAGTACCTAAACCTAAAGGTGTGATGCAGATTGAATGTCACATTCTGTGATGGCACAATGAAAGTTATTCATATTGATAAACAAATTCATACTACCAATACTGAAATGATTCCACTCTAAATGCCCTTGTCTTGACCTTGGTTTAGCACATAGCCACCATTGTGAAAGACAATACATTGATAATTTTTTGTCTGGGAGTTTCTTGATGGTATTTAAGTTGCAGAGTAAGTATTCAATAATCAGGATTGAACAGACTTTGTTTAAAGAAAATTAATGCTAAAATTCAAAAGAACAATTTATATTAAATTAAAATGAGTAAGTACACATAGATAACCCATGTGATTTGTGCCATAAATAAAAGTGATGCCAATTTGACATCAAGTCTGACTAACACATCAGCCATCTTCAAATCTTTTATCAATTATTTGGTCCTAAATTGAAAGTAATATTGACATGGGATTTTCACCTAGAGACTTCTTATGATGTCTAGTTGGCAATAAATGAAAAGTTGCTGATCTGACCTCCAAAATGGTGGGCACTGTAATCATCTTGAAAATCTTTTTATTGCTCCTTCTTCTTAAAAAATGGTCATATCATTATAATATTTTCACTGAAAGATTTCATAAAAAATATAGTTAGTCCTAAATGAAAATGAAGCCAATTGTAAATACAATATTTCTACTGCAGTGGCCAGCTTGAAAATTTTGTTGCAACTCCTGAATGGATGATAATATTATGAAAAGATTTCTTATGCAAATTGGTCCCAAATAAAAATGATGATAATCCCTATCACTACAATGACCATATTGAATGCTCATATCAACATAGGGTTTTCACCAAAACATATCACATTTTACTTGCCCTGGATGCAATTGCTTCTAACATTAGGTCCAGTGTGACTGTAATGCTGACCATCTTAATAATCTTGTCATTGCTAAAGAGTATCAAATGATTTCACCAGTCAGTTGTTAATAGGAAGAAGAAATGATATCATTTCTGATTGCCTGGAAATTCATTTTTGGCTATTTAAGTGTTAGTCACCTTAAAGGACTGTTCATGGCCTCATCATCAAAGCTCAGGGTGTGGTGGGGGCAATGGCTTGACAGGCAGGTGTGGCCAGCTTCTTGTTTATACTATTTTGTATATACAGTGAATATACATTTTGCATCAATTTATATCAGTGTCCAATGATTGTTTCCATTTTATTTATCTGTGCTGTTGATTTTTCTCTGCAAGATATAACATGCATAAATAAATATAGAACAATGAAAGATGCACGAAGAAAACAACATAACAGCATAAGCTATCAGATCATCTCATTATTATGTAGGGGTGTGAGAGGAAAGATCGTAACCAGCTGGTACATGTATGCTGGAAATTATGATGTGAATGGTATCTGAAGCTCATGGATATATCTAACATATGTGTATATTTTTGGGCAGGATCACACTTTTCAGTCAATTCCAAGTGAAAAATAATGTTCAGGTTTGTAGTGCAGAGTTGAAATTTCTCATATCAACTAAGTGGAATTTTAACTTTTACAAAAATTGACTACTGAGCAATCTAGCTTAGGCAACCAGCCACCAACAAGAAGAAAAAATTTTAGCTGGGAATGAAGGGTGGGGGTGGTTTAATTAGATGTAATAAAGATATGGGGAAATCAGAACCTGCATAGATGTTAGACATTGTTATTTAAGAAAGGTGACCATTATGTGGGGGGATGCTTTTTGAAGATCTAATGTGCTAAAGAATAGGTAACTTTGTTAATACATATACAGCTAGTGCCTTTTATTGCCACTGGCAGACTTGTGCTCCTTGGATCGAAAATCCACTGTGAAGTGTATCACTGCACATTATTATAAGCTACAAGTAGTTACTATTGTCCTATCTTGGATCTAATTTTGTAAGAAAATGACTTTGCCATCATGATGGTTCACAGTTCTGATACTTTTCAGGCAAACAGGTTATTACTTGATACTGCTTGCAAAC